AAAATAAAAATTATTGTCTCTGATATTTTTTCCCCTTATATCATGGAACAACTGATATTTGAATGCATACGAAAAACTACTTTTATAGAAAGAATTTGATATAATTTTGATTGTAACAAGAGTCCCATGGGCCACATCGCTCACCCGAGTAACTTTGGCCATGCTGTTCTTTACCAGATTTCCCCCTTGTAATACTAATTGTGGTCCCGCCCTACCCCCGGGGGTCATGATTTTAACAATTTAAAATCTACACTATACCAGGATGCTTCCACATAAGTTTCAGTTTTTCTGACCCAGTTGTTCTTGAGAAGAAGATTTTTAAAGATTTTTCTTACATATTTCAATGTAAAACTTGTAATATTTATTGTGGCCCCGCCCTACCCCCCGGGGGTCATGATTTTTACAATTTAGCATCTACACTACCCCAGGATGCTTCCACATAAGTTTCAGTATTTCTGGCCCAGTTGTTCTTGAGAAGATTTTTAAAGATTTTTCTTACATATTTCATTGTTAAACTTGGATTCCCTATTGTGGCCCCTCCCTATCCCCGGGGGTCATGATTTGAAGAATTTAGAATCTCCACTACCCCAGGATGCTTCCACATAAGTTTCAGCTTTTTTTGCCCAGTGGTTCTTGAGAAGAAGATTTTTAAAGATTTTTCCTATATATTTCAATGTAAAACTTGGATTCCCTATTGTGGCCCCGCCCTACCCCCGGGGTCATGATTCGAACAATTTAGAATCTACACTACCCCAGGATGCTTCCACATAAGTTTCAGATTTTCTGGCCCAGTGGTTCTTGAGAAGAAGATTTTTAAAGATTTTTCTTACATATTTCAATGTAAAACTTGGATTCCCTATTGTGGCCCCGCCCTACCCCCAGGGGTCATGATTTTAACAATTTAAAATCTACACTATCCCAGGATGCTTCCACATAAGTTTCAGCTTTTTTGGCCCAGTGGTTCTTGAGAAGAAGATTTTTTAATGACCCCACCCTATTTTTGTCTTTTCTTGATTATCTCCCCTTGTAAGGGAACTTGGCCCTTTATTTTAACAATTTAAACTCCCCTTCACCCAAGGATACTTTGTACCAACTTTGGTTAAAATTGGCCCAGTGGTTCTTGAGAAGAAGTTGAAAATGTGAAAAGTTTACAGACGGACGGACGGACGGACGGACGACGGACAATGGGTGATCAGAAAAGCTCACTTGAGCTTTCAGCTCAGGTGAGCTAAAAACGTTTTGTATAAATTAAATGCAAGGGGAGATTAAGGATTTATTTTTAACTCCTGTTTTAATGCCCTGTAGTTATTGATAATCTCAGCACTTCTTTGCAGACACCCATTACAGAGGACGATTTGCGAGATTTTTCCTCTACATATCTAACGAAACTTATCGACATCACGGCAAGCTTTGTTATCACTCGCTAAAGGAGATACCGGGATACCCGACCCCCGTCATGACTCTGAAGTGTAACACGTGGGGAAGATACGTCATCATTTACAAGGAAAGAAATACGGAACTCATATATCCGCCATTTTAGTCAGACATAGCATCTTAGAATTGTGTGAGGTTGAAGTTTATGGTATTTATTTTTTTTTATTTTTATGGTACATGTGTACATTTTCTTATTTGGGATTTATTGCTGCATAAGTAAGGGAAGTTGACGATTGAAAAGTTTAAGTCATCGCGTTTATCATAAAGCTTAGTTGTTAGATTACCATTAACGTCTTTTTCTAATAAAATATCCAAATATGAAACAGATGTGTCAGATTATGTGGTATCTTTTATTTCAAACTCACCTGGATATATCGTATCGACATTAGAATTGAAATAACCATTGTTAATTGACAATACGTCGTCGATATATCTAAATGTCGAGAGAGAGGTAACAGCAAGTGTTTTCTTCTTTTCACGTATAAGATTTTGAACAAATTCTGCTTCATATGTTACCATTACTGTCTTTTTTTTGGAAAAAAAATCCAAGTATGAAACTAATGTGTCAGACTCTGTGTATCTTTAATTTCAAGCTCACTTTGATATATCGTGTCGACATATGAATAGAAATAAATATTATTAATTGAAAATACGTCGTCAATAAATGTCGAGTTGTAAGCTTCCGAACAATATTATCGATAATAAAATATCATAAAGGTATAATGAAATCTTCATAGATTGAAAAAAAAAGATTTTGATGACAATTGTCAACAAAGCATGCTTTTGTAACAATTGCTGAAGATGGAAATTTCAAATCATCTCTTTAGTGAACGTACTTCATGTATGTATACCGTTGTAATTCTGTTTAGACAACGGTTCTAAATCAATAGTTTATACCACATCCTCCCCCCAAATTTCACAAAAGTTAACTCAAGGACAAATTTCATAATAAAAAAATGCAAAATAGGTAGAATTGAAGAAAAATTAATTGGATTATTTATTTTAAACAGTATGATTATTGTGTTCTTTGTTCTAAATGTCACAAAGGGAAACAAGGTTAAACATTGCATTGCATTGCATTGCAGACCCAAGTTGCTAATAACGCCACTTAAAAAAATAACGGTTTTTATAGGCTATGTAAAGATGTAAGGAAAATTTGGATTTTGATTATCGGTCAAAACTTCTTGTGGTTAAAAAAACAAATCTGTCTTGGATTGCCAAAAAAAAAACCAAAGTACAAACGTAATGATGTTAACAGCTTGAAAAATTACAAGGGGACTATAACAAGTTATAAGTTATAAAGAGAATTATCAAATAAATTTGACAGTGTAAAAGTTATAAAATAGGTCAAGAACTGAAAGAGTAATTTCTTTTTGAAAGAAATCAAAGTTCAGATGCACTCTAGTGTTCTTGATAATTCCTAACACACCTGACCTCATAATGTCTTTATTAGTGTACTTACAACCAAAAGAAATGCATTTTGGAAAGGCCTATTTAATAGTATAAACATTTTTAAATTCCTTTTGAAAACTATTTTTTGAAAATATTTTTTTAAAAATAAATAAATATCTTTTAAAAATTTCAAAAGTCAGGTGCACATCTAAAACTCACATTGTTTAATTGCTGGAAATTTCAAGCATCTATCTTGAGTAGTTTTGTTTAAGTATGACTATCAAAAACTGCTGCAGAACGTTGAAAATACGACTTTATGACACCGGAAGCGAAACCATCAAAATATGAAGAAAAAAATGTCTCCGGGGAGCATTGTCTCCTATCATTTCTGAAAGTTTAATTAAAATCCACCGAACCTTTACTGAGATACCGGAAAAACGAAGAAAAAGAAACAGTACGTTAATAGAAGGGTCTTCCGTCTTCAACGGAAGACCGTAATGAAACCCTGCATTTAGTTAAGTGGAAGGCGACTGAACGTCTACTGAAAGGTGACTGAAAAGCAAAGTTCTGCCTTTCAGTCACCTTTTTAGAACTTTTAGGAAAAAAATGCAGTTGACCGAATGATAAAGGATCTTCCTATAAGACAAGGTCAACCATTTTAAATATGAAAAGATGGAATTTATACGCACCAAACTCTTGTCTTTTCCTTTGAAATATATGAATGGACTATTTAAGAAAGCTAGAGCAGGTTCATATATGCTTTCATTCTTCAATTGCAGAATACACACTAGTGTTTGTGATTATGAAAGTTGTCCAGCACAGGCTCTTTCAGCATGTGTGTCAGAAGATAATTTAGACTTAACCCATCGGTTTAAATTTTCCATCAAAGGAGTAGATGCTGTGAATATAAGCAAAATTCTTTATCATAAAAGTCAGTCACACAAATGAGTTAAGTCTAATTATAGGCATTTTTATGCGAATAAACTAATTGAAGTTCCTTAGGACTATATCCATTATACATAGGAAGTTAAAATACTCATTGTCTAATTCATACTTGGTACATACGACATGATATACCAGTACACATTATGACGTCATATTATGAAGTCATTGTTCTTTACTACACAAGATTATAAAGGATATCAACAAAAATTCTTCGGAACAAGGGCATGCTCTATTGTATTTCACTGACACAAGGTTATTTAGAAGCAAACTATCCCAAGGTGTGCTGATATTGCTGCACAAATATCAACAGCTCAGTTGTTTAATTACTATTTGTAAAGTTTTTAAGTTGAATTAGGGTAAAAAATGTACAGTCCGGTATAAGTTTCTTCAAATTCCGATCAAATGATAAGATACCTAGGATTTGTGCAGCAGTTTTAATAATCTTTAGAATATTCTTCATAGCATTATACATTTTTTATGCAAAATTAAAGAGGGTAATCCCTTGCGCCGAAGCTGTTTTGTTGATGTGTTGTATTACCTTAAGTAGGTAAGATCAGCGACGTCATAATATGACATCATAATGTGTACCTGCTATAACATATCATGGGTACTATGTATGCATAAGAAAATAAATTGAAACTTTCTCTGAAAAATAATATACTTCTAATGCGTTTTTATTAGCTCATTTGCATAGAAACGCCCATACCTAGCCTTAACTTACATGCGTTGCATTCCACAATATTTCAAGTTGAAATCATACGGATATTCCCAAACTTTTGCTTCAAAACTTTTCCTTTACAAACATTGCAGTGCCTAGATATTGAATATCTAAACAAAACAATCAATCAATCGTGGTCTTGCTCTTCTCCTCAATTACAGCCCAGTTGTACATGTCATTACTGGTGGTGTCAACATTGTTGATAATATAGACCTAAATGCGGTTTATAGAATCTGACGGTCAACAAGAAATATGATTTTCCGACTTACCAAGCTAAAATAAATAATCAATAATTAATTATAAGTGCTTCAAACAATCCATCGTAGTAGTTGTTTAGTCTGTCTTCAATGCAATTATCGGTCTACAACCATTTCCTACATAGAAGTCGCGTCATCAAGCTAACTTTCATTAACCAGTGTGTACAGGAGAACAGAAAGTGCGATGCTAATGACTATTACACAAAAATTATTTTCCAATCTTTATTGAATTTAAATTCTTTACATTAAAGCTATTATCCAATCAAAGAATCACTTGATGATCTTGTAGTTTTCGTCTCATCTAAAAAGAAAAAATTTCGTTCGAGTTTGTTGTACATTTAAGTGTGTATCACCACTTTATATATACAAAGACTGGATACCTGGGCATGGTTTGGTGTTGCATGTCTCAGCCTGTAAGCGCTGACCAGGACAATCCATTCCCCCTTGTAATGGCGGTGGGTTGTTACATTCTCTCATCCTCATATGAAATCCACCACCACACGTCATGTCACATGGACGAAAGTCACTCCACTGACCCCAATTTCCATCAACTGAAATGGATTACAATGAATAAAATATTTTATTCCGTATACTTTTTTTTCAATCATTATTCCTTATATACGAGATAGATATCCTAGCATAGTTTGAATTAGAATATAACATATGAAATATAGTGAGCTTTATCTTAAACTACTTCCTCTTTTAAACAAAAAAAAAATAATACTAATAATCAAGTGATATATAGCAAGGACACTCGTAACTATTTATCTAAAGATTTTGGTTTTTCGTGTTTTATAATAACACATTAATGAAAGAGAGAAACCTGGACAGGTCCTGAGGTTACAAATTTTACTCTCCTTTGAATTTCCTGAACATTGTTGACCTCCAAAGCCAGGAGATGGGCTTGAACAAGTCCGAGATCTAGTTTGGACACCTTGGCCACAACTACTACTACACTGACTGACATTTGACCATGATGACCATCCTCCATCAACTAGTACATGAGAGAAACACATGTACATGTAAATCAGCACAATTTTCACCAGTAATAAACTGGTTTAATCAAAAGAATTTTCACAAATTTGTATCTGGGTACTATGTAGTGTTTCAGTTGCATACCTGGGCAGTGAAGCATATTACAGCCCGTTGGTTGTACTGAGTCTCCGTAGCATGGAAGACCGCCATTTGCAGGGGCAGGATTGGAGCAGTCTCTGAATCTCACTTTCCAACCTCCACCACATGATTTGTCACAAGTACTATAACTTCCCCACGTACTCCATGTCCCATTTACTGCAAAAGAAACATGCCAGCATATCAGAACAATGCTTTTGTTTAAGAAAAATATAGTAAGAAAATACCGAGATTAAAAATTACTCTAACCGTTAAGAAAGCAGGTTATCTGGGGGAAAACAATTTATATTTGCATGATTTATTTGTAATTTACATAATTTATAATTATGAAACCTGGACATTCTCTTAAATTGCATTGTCTGATTTCGGTTGAAATTCCAGAGCAGTTAAGACCGCCATGATTTGGAGCTGGATTGGAACAGGTGCGCTTTCTCATCTGAATACCAGGTCCACAACTAACGCTACACTTATCAAAGACTGACCATGTTGACCATTCTCCATTTACAGCTAAGATTCAATGCATCTTTAATTATTTCACATGTTCCAATGATTTTTTATTATTATTATTATAGCACCTTTATCTTCTATTTAATTACCTGAGATGATTATGTCTGTGTTTCATTTAATATACTCAGACGTTCTTTAAGCATAATTTTTATTTTTAAAAAGCATATCAGGACAGATTTATTTCATTGTTCTTTTGAAAAAGTACATGTAGATGTTTATACATTGATCCAACAGATTTAGTCAAAAGTTCATATTCAATATTGAAATATAAAAATAACGAACGGACATCAACCTCAAAATCCATTTTAAAAAAAATTACAAATTGGGAGCAGAGGAAACACAGGTCTCTAAAAACAACAAAGGTGGAATCAGGTGCCATTTAGAAGTAAGCATCCCTTGTCGACCGGTCACACCCGTCATATGCTCATTGTCATGATCAGACAAACGGAAAATCCGTAGAATTTACATGATCTTACTTCAAACTTCGTCTAAAATCTAATTTCAAAATCCGTATGTCTTATTTTCTTACCTTTGAATGAAATTAGGATTATTCAATATAATAGCAGAGATAGACATTCACATTCCCGTCCTTCCCTGTCAGTGTTTACAGGTAGAATTTCTTTTCTTTAGTGTGAATGACAGAGACTGGTGCATGTTTAAAATTTGGGATTTTGTTGCTTTAACGTCCCTTGCAATTTCCACTCATATGATATGTCAACAGATAGTCAGATAACAGTGACGTGCTGTATCTATACTTATACTAAGCACTCGGGGCCATTGAGCATTAAAAGGCATTGATCGTGGCAAACCTACCTACACATCCAAAAAAACCCGTGAATTTCAATTCTAATGCAGTGACTTGGCGAAGGAAAGGTCACTTCTTATGCTAGATGTCTTAGATTTGACGCTGCTTCGGGAACGAGAATCAAACCAATTCCTCTCGACTCCGAAGCAAACATCTACCACAAGGCTACAATGATGGGTTTTATATATGATTTACTCAAAATATTATGTTGACATTAGCAAGTAAGGATGTTCTACAAAAACTGTTCTGAAATACGGGGGAAGATTGAAATTCTCATGGAATATGTTGTACACGTGTAATATTTTGCTTGTTCAAGGCATTTTTCATGTGTTTTTGGATACGATGAGGTTAATCATATGTAGCGCTGTTGAGCGGTTAACGGCTATAATTATTCCATCATTAAGTAAATTGTAAAACAAAATTCCTCTGTTTGTATCCCTCCTCATACAGGTTGGAAATATAACGATCAAGTAAGTTTATAAACAATTTATTTACAGGGCCAGGTGTCCCTTAAACACAACACAAGTCATAAAAATAATCCATAACCTTTTGACATATTGTCACTTAAAAGAGTTAAAAAAAACTATCCCAATTTATTATATACCCGCTGGCTGATCATCATAAGGAACATAACTTTTAAAACAAAAGAATTATGTAATTAAATAACCGATGCTCGCGAGGAGCATCAAATAGATATCTAAAAATAATTATAAAACCAAATAATTGACTATTAGCATTTTTTTTAATATTTCCTACGCAAAACTAATTTTTAATACCGTTAAACTAAATCACTACAACCACCCTCCCCCGCTTAACTCTTGACTCCATTCAAAAAATAAAACCAATATACATTACAAAAAAAACTTCAAAAGAAAACAAATTAATGATAAAAGGTACATTCGAACGTCAAATTATGATCTATTTACATTGACTGACATGGTTCCTTTTTGCACAAATAACTAAAGTATCCCAACGTGAAACGAATGTTGCCTTCTTTAAAGTGTTTTAGAATTTTTTCAATATTTCTGAAGGAACACTTTCACAATCAATGTCACTAGGCTTTAGATCTTCCGAATATACGACATGCGTGTAACTATGTACATCGCTTACTTCGTTCATTCCGTTGAGGTATGTTCTTTGTTCTGTTTATTAACAAATTCCTACAATTATTGTTACAGTTCGTATAAATGTCCCTACTGTCGGAGTCTCGGAACTCCAAATGTCTCCCTCCATCTGTACCTTGTATGCCTTGACGATTAGTTCTTTTTCATTGTCACTGGCTACAACCAAGCGCTCATCTTTAATCTTGAAGTCCAAAATGTGGTCAGCTTAATCAAAATCCTGCGTATTCACTAATATTATTTCTAAATCCTTCAATAAATTGTCAGATTGTGCAGTCTTGTGGAGTCTGTTCCATGTGAATTGTGTCGTCCTCATTTTATGAAATGTCTTCACTCAGTACAGTGACAAAAAACGCTTCTTCGAGGATGAGAAGTCTCCGTTAACTTTTTTGTGAGTCCTTTCCATTTCCTGTTTTACACTAATTTCACAAAGTTTGTATAGTCTCTAGGTCTAAGGTCTAAGGAGAACTTGTTGATAAAAGTTGCACTTCAACAATTTCAACAATGGTGGTTAAACAAAGATCTGCAAATATCGCACGAAAATCCCATCTAATCTTGTAGAAATCTCAACGGTTGTTAAACTACTCGTCCAAATCGGGTAGCCTTTGTAACTGAAGTTTAAGGACTATCCTTTGACCCTTGCTCTTGTTTAACGTAATTTGATTGGCTGTTGGCAGGTGACTGTTCTGCTCCTGTAGCACTGGTCAAATAGGTGACTGGCGGTGACTTCCATCGAGAACGCTCAGACCTCGAAACCATAAACTGAGAGCAGAAGTAAGTCAACATTTTGATTCTGAATATCTGTAGTTTTTTCACATATGTTCTTAAAGCTTCGCAGATATGTCCGATGTTTTCTACGATGTTTTCAAATTCCTTCAAATGATGTAAATTTTGTTTCCTTTCCAATATTACGTCTGTTCTCAGTTTAAGGTCATAGAGCCTGGTCTCTCGCTCAGCTGAAATGCGTCGGTAGTGAAAATCTGGCGTCTCGCTACTTGTATATTCAAATTCGTCAGACTTGGGTGCTAATTGCTCGCATCCTTTGTACGGTTTAAGGTTATCGGCATAAACAAAAACTGGTTTGAATTGTTTTGAATGTCTTTTTTTGATAAAGTACATCACTCAACCGATTTTCTATTGTCTACGGGCCTTCCTATTCCCTGGTTAATTTAAATTTACACGTAGTTCCTTTATGTACTTTTGTTTGATTTGGCCTCACTAATAACCAAATTTCACATTCTAAACGAAATATAATTTTTGTATTTGAAAAAGTTTTCTTACATATTCCTCTTGCGAATTCGTGAATTTCAAACAATTGTTTTCAATTTCAAAAAAAAAAAAAAAAACTTTGTCGGCTGATGCAGTTTATAGATAAGGAAAAATAGGTCATAAACACACTTTCTTTTGCCAAAATGACAATATTTGACATACGCAGCACTGTTAAGGCGTACTTCGAAGAAATCAACAGAATATAAACGTGCATAAATACATACCTTTTTAAACTGAATTTATTTTTGTAAAGGTACTGTATTATCTTATGACTTTAACATTCTTTGAAATAACATTGTTTACCCCGCTCTGTACTGAATTTGGTTTGGTCACGTTATTTGATAGTCACGTGATAAATGCATGTAATGTGTACTGTATGTAGGTCACAAACAAATTTCAATATCGCAAGGGCATACCCGAGTTAAAATTAAAAATTAAAGTAATAGATTGTTTCTACATAACTTGTAGTTTATGGAAAGTCCTGCTGCTTTACATAGAATTCGCATTTTATTAGTTTAAATTTCAAGTTATTTGGCTAATGTCGAAATTTGTGTGACCTTTACCAAGTATTTTATGTATTTATTAAGTTATGCTATCGATTTCAGGAAAGCAGCAGCACTTTTCAAGTTAAGGAATACGTCCGTTATGTGTATTCAAAAAATGGTCAAGATCTATTAAGTGTATGCCCTTGCGAAAAGGCGATTTAATGAAGCACCTCGGCGTGAAACATACACACCTTGTAGACAAAAACACGGTAGAATTAATTCAATACATTCTCTCGATAGTTTTTAAATAATGGCACTAAACAAACGTTTCAGATTTGTATTAATGGTCTACCTAAGATTTGCAAATAATATTCCGTTTAATGATAAAATGCATTTTTCTCTGTGAAAAAATTACTTGATCCGCCTCTCACTGCACATAAAATGCGTCAAACTTTACCATGATGACGTCATGTCGACAAGTGCATTGCTATCAAAGACTTGTTTATATCTTGCTGTGTGGGATTTACATTAACTAGCGACAAAAATGAATGCAGTGTTAAGTTTTGATGTAGTTCATTACTCGTTTGCAGTTTAGATTCGCAAATTATTTCATTTTCTGTTATTGTGAGGAATTGCTATATTTGTGTGATGTCAAAGTAATCTTTTCCCGTATAAATTAGGCCCCGCCCCCTTTATGCAGCCTTAACAGAGCTGCGTACATAAATATCTAAAAGTTATATAATTACATATATTTTGATTTATAGAATTTGAAAATGAAAATTAGTTGGAAAATATTATTCTTTTTCTGGTAATTCTATAGTATGCTTTTGAAATAAATTTATAAATCCTTAAAATTAAATAGTTCTGTTCGTTAATATTATACATTTATTGAATGGGTTCGAGGGCAATATGTGTTTTGTCGGACATAAGAACCAAACTGTTTGCCAAAGGCCGTTAGGCCGAAGACAAACAGTTTGGTTAGAGCGATCGACAAAACGATTTTGCTCTCGAACCCAGTCGATAAATGTTTTGTTATACCTTTTATTTATTTATTAATTATTTTTTATATAAGTATCTTTTGCTGGCTTCCATACTAACGAATACAAACAAGATTTAGCTGGTCCCGCCCACAGTGTGATGTAAGCGGTCCAATATCTCGTCCACAGGTCCAAGATCTCTCTCTGCGGTCAAACATCGATTTTTTTTATGACGGCTCAGTAAAACACTAGAAATGTTAGACTTTTTTTAAGCATAGATTTATATAGGTACTAGTTTCGAAAGGTATAACAATGTAAGTTATTTTGTGTTAAGGTTAACAATATCATATTTGGATTTTCCTCTAAGAACATTACGCTAAGACTCTTAAGGTATTTAATTTAGTGTGGAAGTCGTCTACCAAAGGAAAAGGAAAAAATCTGCTCTACTAAAAGGAGAGTCAAACTAATGACTCATTTGCATAATGATAAAGGCGTCTTGGCGACTTTTTATTCTTATTTTCAAATAACATCAGTAAACTACACATATGTAAATAGTCGAATCCTGCCCAAGTTATATCGTCTAGGGGTTTTACAACACAATAATTTAATCACGGAGACATTCATTGCACCGCATTTATTTTTAGCATGCCTTTAGACCACCTTGAGATTGCACATAATTTTGTGTAAACGCAGATAAAGACTGTCCTGAATGTATTCATTGACTTGTACTGAAAATTTAAATGCTAACAGATGGATAAACAAGCAGACTGACAAAAGACTAGTTTTAACAAAAAATCATGTTTGTTTTTCTGTTTTCCAATATATATATATATATATATATATATATATATATATATATATATATATATATATATATATATATAATATATATATATAATATATATATATATAATATATATATATATATATATATATATATATATATATATATATATATATATATATATATATATTATTCTAAGGTGGACAATAATATACTGACACAGACTATATTGTATTTTTTGATCATCTGTGCTGAGCCCTTTATCTAAACCTAATCATTCTTCTTTAATGTTTCAATCTCTTCATTGCTCGATTGGATACATGTATTGCACAGAAATGAAATTGCATACACTGATACATCAACGTTGTTACCTTTGTTACAATGGTCTCCTTAGCCACGAACATATGTAAATGTCATGTATAAAACTATATTTCAGTTTCAATAAATCAAAATAGATACCGGAACATTTCTCGAGATTGCAGGAACGTGTTTCTTCGAGTTTTGAAATTGAATAAGAACAACATCCCTTACAACTCCTCTTTCTCGTCCTCAAACCAGAACCACATGTATGACTGCAACATGACCACTCACTCCAAGGCGCCAACGTTTTCGTGTTGTATGATGTTTCAGTGGCTAAAATTAAGCAAGTTTCTCCATTTAAATTAGTATATATTTTTATATAAGGAATATTTCTCATTGTTTTATTTTTACATTTACCATAAAAATGATTTTGTATATACTGTCTTTTCAAACGTAAGGATTTATTTAAAAAGTATACAATTTCGTACAGCAAAAAAAATCGAAAAATTCAAATAAAATTAAACCTAACAATCTAAAAAGTAAAAAGGTTCTTTTACAAACCTTATTTTAACTACATTCTTCATTACAAAGAGAAATGGTGTATATTCCTATTTGGAAAAAACATTGTGTATCATAATTAGAGATCATTTACTTACGGCAGTCACAAACTGGTATACCATTAGAACGATAAGTACAAAAGCATCCGTCTCCACAACACCAAGTGCTTGAGCATATTTCATCATATTTTACGTAAACTGTCCACACAACAGCTGTTTTCGAAATATATGCACATTTACTAGTTTCAAAGCACACATACATACATATACCCTCTCACACACACGCAAATTATATATATATATATATATATATATATATATATATATATATATATATATATATATATATATATATATATATATATATATATATATACTTTCACAAACATCTTCCCCGAAGCGAGATATGGTTCCGAACTATTATATTATGTGGTTATTCTAAGGTAAAATTGATAACTAATACCTCCCAGGGAGATTTAAATTTATTTAATGCAATGTGATTACTTAAACAATTGTCGACCGATTCATATACAATGCGTAGACCTGAGTATCAAATTCCAAATTAGATTCAATATTAAAGCGTCCAAATTATTACAATTTTGTTCCAAAGAACGCTCCTTTTTAAACTTCTACCAGCGTTCAAATTTTAAGACGTTACCTAAACAACGGCAACCATCTTGGAAATTTTAAGCCAAAGAAATCTAAGGAGACAGTTATAAATCTATATTCTTTAGCACAAATTTTACAGTATGAAATCATATTTAACTAAAAATCTCCCCTGGTTGAGATGGTAAAAATGCTAAAGCACTTTACCTGAGGCCAAAAAAAAAAATCTTTCAATGTTTCTCAGAGCCTTTCTCAACATTTACGTACTCCTATCAATCATTACATACTACATGCAGTGTATGTAGCAGGGAAAATCACAAAATTTGCATAAAATTTTCATTCAGTATAAAATGTATATTCAAAATTATGCCTAACTAGAACTGTCCAAAATGGACAAATACTCCCACTGGATTTTTCAGAGAAGGTGCCAAGTCACTCACACTAGTATTGGTGTTCAAAATTTGTTTAAACATTTAAAGTTACAATTTACTAATAATTGATCATTATATATTTTAAATAAATGAAACTAAGGCGTAGCCTAATAAAACATCAATACTAATAATAACATTGTTTTTTATTACAATGTAAAAAAAACTACAATTTTTCAAGTATTTCTCTATTGGAAAGTATGGATGCATTATTTATCCATATTTTCTACAGTGACTAAAGGTCAACATCATGACACACTCTCAGGTCTTCGTTGTGTGAAGTGGAATCTTCCAACATCCCAACATTACTCACCATAAGAAAAATACAGAAGGGACACGAATTATGAACTTTTTCTGTAAGTGTCTGTAAACTTGCACAAATGTCCTTGGGTCAAAGTCATGTCACACCCTCAGGTCATAAGCAATCTTTGTGTAAAATAGGAACCTACCAAATTTATCCATAAGAAAGATATGGACCGGACACAAATTATGAACTTTTCTTTCAGTGACCTTGGGTCGTGATCATGACGCACCCTTAGGGCATGAACAATCTTTGTGTGAAGTAGTAGATTCTAAAGTTCCTCCGACGGACAGACTATATAACCCCCCAAACTTCGTTTGCGGGGACTATAATAATGAATCTGATAAAATGATGCGTACTTTCAAAAATGATGCTTACTATCTTATCTCATAAGACTAGGAAATCATTAATGAGATTCGGCACTTGCCTTCACTTAATACATATATGTTCACAATATTCTCAGCCTAGATAATTAAAATGGAATGTTCTAGAGAAATCTTATCGATCATTTTGATATATTTAAGGTCGCTAACCATTATTTTTGATAACATATTACTGCTTCAAGTATTATGTATAATACAAAAAGTTCCACCTGAACACTTATGAGAACAATGTCAATTAAGAAAACGTGATGTTTATCATTTCTTTGAAATTTCAGCCATCTATTAGAACCTTTAGAGACACACATACATATTGAATCAAACAATATCTGGCCAAGGCTACGTTAGAACGACGGAAATAAATAACTTGTCAGTAAATTGCAAGCAATAAAAAATTGAGTAAAAATACTACATAATTCTTAACTTACTGTAAGGTAAAAATATGAAAAAACATCCCAAGAGTTTCATACTGATAATAAGTAAAGGAATTTGATAAGGAAATAATGACACTACGGGCAAGGTTCATTCAAGGACTTGATATTTTATATTTTGATTAAGTTCCTATGGTTTCTTTCGCATCCAACACGTGGTGGATATTTTTTTTTAATTTGTTGGGAAAACTTACATGTTTTTAATTTATTTTTCTAACAATTTTAGTTTCAGGTACATTTCAAATCAATGTCCATTTCCTGTTTTGAGAACCCTCTGTATACTGCACACTAAGAAATTCTAATTCAGTGGGTTTTTGACAATCAGTGAGATCTGCCGTTAGATCTAAAGAAAACATACTGAAAGAACTCTTCATTACTCAATCTTTTATTAAAGCTAACATTCTTTACATTTTATTAGGCCAAGATAAATAACATTAATAATTACATGCGTTTACCCACTGAGAAGAGCAACTGTTTTTCAATATTTCGTTGTCTTTGAATATTTCTCTTTGGAGTAAATAAGTGGTACCCTAGTTTGAAAAGGGAATCGACAAACTCGGCACTTACACCTTTATACCGTTTAATTTAATTATCTTTATGCTAAAGCATGTCTGTTTAGTGTATAGAGGGCCATTACGGGTTACACTTTCGTGTAGACTTATTTTCAGATATTACAGACAAGAAAATGTGCATTAATATGTATATGCGTATATAAAGATTGGTGACACTGTGGAAGATTATTTTAGATTGTTATTCCACTTGAAGAGACCTTATTGTAATAAGACTGCTACCCCAAGAGGGGAATAATACTCTATTCTGCTCTTGGGACAGTCAGATTCGGGGGAGACTCAACCTGAGATTTCTATATCAGAGGAATACAAAACAGAATAAAGATAACAATGATTGAAAATGGTGTTTTATTTATTTACAATGAAATAATAAGGTGAAATGACTCTGACTGGTGTTTCCAGTGCTACCAAAACAATGAAAAATGAGTTGAATGAAAAAATTAACCTATAAATAATCTTGCAAATCAATTATCACTTTACTTATTTATTTAGAATTCTGGTAATTTTGATTGTTTGAATTTAGATCGGGATTGAAATATAAATGTTTATTAGACCAATGTGAAATGGTAAACTGGTAAAGCTTAACAGGATTCGTAAATAGGCAAACACCATTTTTGTTTCACCATTCTTCAATATCTGCACTGGGGTATACCATACGATTTCGTTACGCCTGATTGTTTTCTCACCTGAGCTACCGAAGGAAACAAAACTACAAGAGGCCACACAAGGGAACACGAAAAAACAAAACAAAAAAACAAACTACTTAAAACAGAAGAAGACACAAAAAGTATATACCCCAAGAGATAACTTTCCCGTAAATTTCGTCCACATATAAAGAATATCCTCCTATATAAAAAGGAAGAGAGCTCTAACAAACCTTTTCATTCTGAAATTCGCACTAACGTGCCCTTTTTTCGACGCAAGCTTTGCTAGGTTGCTTTAGAACCCCCCCCCCCCCCCAAAGTTTCCATGAAAGGTAGGTTCAAGAAATAAAGTGTACAAGAAACTATTTATCCACATAATCTGAAATATGCAAAAAAAAAAAAAAACACGCGTTTTCATAAGTGGCACGCACTGTGGATGTCCATTTTCTCTAAGTTCTCGTAAACCTGAGATGCGCATGTGCGACAAAAATTGAAAGCGAAAGTAGTGACAGAAACTTTGATCCATCAAGGGATAGTCTATTGCAAAGTTTACAAAGGGTGAAAATCTCTTAATAAGAAGCTAAGTTACATTGATTATACTTATTATGTATTTTAAGATGCACTAATTATAGGGAAAATAAATATTAAAAGAATTGTTGCATTATTGTCTTGTCATAAATTTGGCAAGGGGAAAAGGGGGGGGGGGAGGGGGGCTCTTGTATCGATAACTTTTTGTCAGTATATCCTTATGTGTACGAGGGTTGTTCGGAAAGTTCGTGGACTAGCGCCATAAAATTAAAACCGCTTAAGGTAGAACCTACGTCGTATGACGTCATATTGAGTATATGAGTCTAGTCCGTCTTTTTGGTGCTAGATCCATTATGACGTCATAATTAATTTAATGTTCCTTTTTCCCGTACTTTACGGCTTTAATCCAAGACTGTCTCATTAACTAAGTTAATCAATTGTGTTAATGTGAATAGCATGCAACTATTTGAAGGAATGCTAAAAAAAATCCTAAGAAATCTAAATAATACGATATTTTGATGAAATGTGTCTGAGTCAAAGATTTGTTAAAGATTGCATGTAAATTTTGTAATGTCTATCATGGAATGACGTGCATTCCTTTTCATAATTATTTGTTAATTATTCATAATGGTTGGTGTATAATAATAATAATGTTTACCTAAAATATTATCTTTTTTAAATAAAATAAAATTACATTTTTTGATAAATATTCACATTGTAAATCTGAATGTAACTCCAAAACAGTCATTTAATAATTATCCTGTGTAAGTGCAAAAAGGTCAACAAAAGAAGTATTAATAAATAGAGTGTCTCTCATTAGTTTGTGGGGAAAGGTTTATATTTTAATCACTTTTTATAATTATTTGGGTATGTTCTTCATCATATTAAAAATTGAGAACATTCTGACAAAGACTTTTGAAAAATATTTACAAATTTAGGTGGTATATTGACTCAAAAAAAATATTGAGCACATTTGCCTATATCAGTTGAAATGTGGACTTAATCTTTTATATGTCAATTGAATGAAAAAGAATTTATTCTTGAATACTATTGCTTAATACAGTACAGTTAATAAAGTCTATAAACGACAATGTTTGAAGAAGTATTTTAATGATTTTCTATATTCTCTTTATGACCAGTACCCCTAAAAATAGCTGAAAATATGTAGTCGCAGTGTAAAATTGTCATTCCAAGTTGCACAGGCTGCACTACATTTAATGACAAGGAAACATACCATATATTTTTAACTGACTGATAAGCGAGTGCTAATTTATCATTTTGAAAAGTTTGAAAATCTTGTGACA